CAATTGACCAGGCTATGGCTAAGTACGGATTCATCATGACCAAATGGAAGTCTAACTTCCCTGAGGTACTGAAAGGAATCCCAAAAGGCAGACTAGCAAACGACGAGAAATTGATTGAGGAGAAATCCTCCTCTAAAGCCTTGGGTCTCCTTTGGAACCCTAATGACGATCTCTTTGGTTTTTCCTGTAGAAAAAGAATTGATGCAGATGGTAAGTATGAGGGTAAGTCAGTAGGCATGACTGTCTCAGAATATCTCTCAGCTTTTGCCTCTCTGTTTGATCCAAAAGGATTCTTGGGACCTTATACTTTCTCTGGGAAGTTAGTGTTCCAGAGAGTGTGGACACAAGTCCAAAATTGGCATGAAAAGATGCCTGATGATTCCGTTAAACTCTGCAAAAACTGGATGAAGGGAATTCTCATAATGAAATCTTGGAGGGTACCCAGGTGGTTGGGTTTCAACCTCAACCAGCCTATTGCATTGCAAGTCTTCAGTGATGCTTCTGAAAAGGGCTATGGTGCTTGCACCTACATGAAGCAAGGAGGCACCCCCAGGTTTGTATTTGCCAGATCCTGTATTACCCCCACAAAACCCTTTTCCATTCCTAGATTAGAGCTTCAGGGTTGTGTGGTGGCCAAGCGTCTGGCCGAATTCCTTCTGATAGAACTGTCTGAAGTCCATTGGTTTAGGATCATTTTCTGGACTGACAGCATGGTAGTTTTGGGGTGGCTGCGCAACCCCACATCAAAGTACGTTACTTTTGTTGCAAATTGCGTAGGTGAAATTCAGGATTACTTAGATGATTCCAAAGGACAAATCCACGCGAAATTTAGACACATAGGTACTAAGTCCAATCCGGCCGATTTAATCAGCCGTGGTACCTCCGCTGACGAACTAATTTTGCAAGAAAAGTTTTGGACGGAGGGGCCCGACTTTCTGGCCAATTCTGAGGAGTTCTGGCCTGCTCAGCCGAAAGTGTTGGGTAAGGTTAAAGACGAGATGAAGCCAGAGGCCCTTAAGGAGGATCTTTTTACTAATGTCGAAACTGAAGACCCTTTTAAAAACTTCAATCATGTTTCTGAGTTGGCTTCCCCCGTCGAGAGAGGAAACATAGACCAACTGAAAGAACTCGAGTTGAAGCACATCAGGGAAGCCCAGTCCCAGTTCTTTGGGGCTGAGCTGACCAAAGTTAAAAGGGAATCCCAAGTTCTCCTGAAATCTGGACCTTTATCCAGATGGATAATATGGCTAGATGAAGATGGAATTATTCGAAACATTGGGAGGCTTCAGAATGTTGCGGGGGTTACGGAACAGCAAAGGCATCCAATAATCCTCCCCAAGTCTGCCCCATTTACAAGATTGGTTATTCGAGATGTGCACCAAAGTAATGCTCACGCGGGACCTAAGGTGACTCAGTCTCTGCTCCGTCAAATGTTCCTGATCCAATGCATGGTTCGTACCATTCGCAAGGAGCTATTTTTGTGTATTGAATGTAGAATGCATAACCCTAAGGTCATCAAGACCATATTAGCTCCCCTACATGGGAACCTAGTTGAAGAGGGATCCCTGCCCTTTCACCATTCTGGAGTAGACCATTTTGGGCCCATCATGGGCAAAGGAAACGTGAAGGTATGGGGTCTTTTGTTCATGTGCCTGACAACTCGAGCGATTCATCTTGAGGTTTGTCAAGGCCTGGGTGCTGACAAATTTTTGTTGGCACTGGAAAGGTTCGTATGTAGACAAGGGCAACCTTGCGTGATTTGGAGCAATTGTGGTACTGCATTCATTGCAGGGGCCAAAGAATCCGCTAAGCTGCACACCACTGAAATTAACAATCAGTGTGCAGCTCGGTGGAGGACTGAATTTCGAACTAACCCCCCGGGATCTCCCCATTGGGGAGGATCCTGGGAACGAATGATCAAAGATATTAAAAGATGCCTTGCCCATTGCACCCTGAATATGCGATGGTCTGTGGATATTTCAAACACCTTCCTTCTTCGAATTGAATATATTTTAAATCATTGGCCGCTTTGCTTCGACGACGAGGGAAATCCTCTGTCGCCTGCTATGACCCTACAGCCTGTGGCTTCTCTGCTCAAGCTTAGCAATGTAGAAGGCTCGAGTTTTAAAATGCTCCAGCACATTGGGGAGATGGAAAGGTTGTTTTGGAAGCGTTGGAGATCTTCGTATCTCCTCGTGTTGAATTCAGAACGTTGTGTAGGGAGGAAAAGACTGACCCAGCTCCAAATTGGAGATCCCGTGTTAATAGATGACAGACGAGGGAACGTTTTTACAGACAAGTGGACCACGGGTAAAGTATTAGCTGTCCATCCTTCTGTGGATGGATTGGTCAGGAAGGTCACTGTCCAAACTTCTGACGGCGTTTTTGAGAGGGGTACTAATAGGATAGCCATCATGGAATCTGCAGTTTTGGATTGGGACGCATGGAAGCCAGTAAGCTCGTAAGAGCTGACCTGGCTTAGGGGGAGTGTTGGAAACTGCGGCGGGAATTTGTAGACAATAACTCATGGAGAAAGGGGACCTGTACTTACAATGCAGGATTCCCTGGATCCTTAATGCAAAATTCAACGAACCGGGAATCCTGCTTTCTTACACGGAGCAGGGAACTCCATTTGCGTTTTCCTGTACAATCTGATGAGGATATTTCCTGAAGAATTGTTTATTTGATTTGTTGATAAAGTTGTGAATTCGGAATTTGTCTGAAGAAAAGAAATTGGGTTCAAGCTGCCGTGTCTGTTTGTCATTTCCGGGGCAGCTGCACAGCTGCAGGGTCATTTATTTGTTTGGCTCGAATTGAGACGCTGTTTCTCCAAGGTCCGTGTTTTCTTTTCGGACCAGATGGTCCCAGGTTTATATTTCCAAGACGCTGACTTGTTTTTGACTTGAAAAGAAAACCGACAAGCGCGCAAAAATGATAGGGACATCTGGCTCCTTTGTAGTTGGAAAACTCAACCCTTCTTTATTTTTTTGGAAGGGAGATAGTGATCTCCAAGTCCTCGACCCCTGGAAGGGGACGGAAGAGCAAACCGCCAAAGGGGTGTTATCTGATCCCCTTTGCACGTGCGCAATCCCCCTCTTCCCGCCGCCTCGCGTTTTGAGCTTGGGACTGGTAGGATTTTCATTCTGTGCTCTGCCTCGCACTGGGATTTGACTCTGACATTTTTGAGTGTGAATTCTTGGACTTGTATATTTTCGTGAAAAATATTTTTTAGATGTTTTAATTTTTTGCGAATTGATTGTGTACAATTTCGACGCGTGTGTTGAGGATCTCCATTTAAGTTGTTTTGTATTCAAGATTCTATTTTTTGTGTTGTGCATTTGTCGAGTCTGTGTCTGACGTTTTGGTATATTGTAATTTTCAGGCAGGGACGCAAAACCCTCTAACCCAACACCCAAACTGTAATATTTGAAGTTCCTTATGCAAATTTGTATCAAAGGCTCTGTATACCTAATCCGTGCCTGACATGAAATAAAATCATTGTGAATAGCTGTAAGCTAATTTCACCTTTCATTTCGGCACCCAGCAACAACGGTTATCCGCCTGTTGTTGTTGAATCTCAATTGTCCTGAGGGAATTACGCACCCTCCATAGGGTGCAGAACAACTCAGCTTCTGAAATAAATTGAATCAGCGAAGTACCATCACAACATCTTCTCGCGCGTTTTGAGAGATTGACGCCACACAAGCACCACTCGGCGCCGTAAACCACGGCCGTTTGGGATAAGCAGTTTTGGATCTTTCAAATAGGCCCTGCATTTTCCTAAGGGGAAACTTGACTTGTCTTATTCCTCCATAACATATATATTACTGCAGTGCATAGTATTGTACTCTTAATAGTCTTAAACATACTGTTGTTAAATGATGACGAGCTGCATGGAAGGGAAACCGGCCTGGAAGCGGTGGAGGTTGTACATGAATCTAGCGACACCTATGTCGCGTCTTGTAATACGCGCGTAGTTGTGTCTGATGAATTCTCTTTTTTTGCTGCGCGCTGCTGCTCATGTTCGGGAACTTCTGCTGACCAGATCCGCTTTAATCGAAGGTCCGATGTTTAGTTGCTTATTGGCGAATCAAAAATTGTGGAATTTTGCCCGCTGGGTTCAGGATTGGAGCCATACTGAAGAGGACCGAAAACACCGTATACTGTTATGGAGTTATTACTTGGATATTAATTTTCGCATACTTGAGGGTATTCTTCAGATTCTATTCCTATAGTCTGCGATTTTACGTACGTCCACGAGAACGCGAGTCGTATTGATACTGATGATCATCAGGAATCCGGTAGACAAATTTATAGTCCCGAATTTGGTGCAGCTTTGAATTAGGACTTGAGTGTTCAAGGGATCGTCGAAGTTTTGGACGCATGTCAGTCCGCGAGATTTTGTTTATTGCCTCAGCAACACGGGTTCATTTGTTGTCCTATTCAAATGTGATTCTTTCCGTTCTGCGCGATATTGTGTGTTTGTATTGGTTTGATTTATTATCGTTACGTGTCCGACTCCATTATTTTTGGTCACCACCCAAAGTGTGGCTAGATTTCCTCAAGCTTGTGGAGTCCGGGAATCTCAGCATCCGAATCCGACGTTTCACCTCACTATTATTGCCTCAGAAGTTAGTTTTTTTTGCGCCAAGTGAACAACTTAGCAAAATCGTGGTCCTTAATCCGGTTTTGTGGCAGTTGAAAATGTTCTGTACCTCATTGGAATGTGCTTGATTTCGGTCAAATAATTGATGTCCCACTGCTCTAGCGTCTGATGGAAACCTGCTTTGAATTATGATTTTTCAAATCCGCTACATCTTTTGTCATCAGTGTACAGTACTGTAGTCCTGGTATACTTCAATGCCTCAATACCGCAAATACTTGCAGCGTTGAACTGATCTGCGATGGCAACAATTTCAGAGAGACTTCGGGGGAAGAGAAACGCTGCAAGTTGCAAAAAATGGGTTAACATGGTGCTTAACAAAGTGTGCGTGGAAAGAATGGAGAGTGCGTCAAGCATGCTGTCCCCCGGGGAAACAACTTTGCTTGCTTTGGACCCAGTGATCGCATCGACATCTTCGGACCTGGTTGGCGATTTGACTTACGGCCAGCTAGTCATTCTTGGATACAATGGCAGCTTACCAAGTGGTGAACGTCGTCGCAGAAAGAGCAAATTTACCCTGTCTCAACGCCCTATTGCCAATGGCCTCAAAAAGGTTTGGATACATCATTTTCGAAATGAGTTGGAATTTTAACATCCTCTTGAAACCTCTTCGCAAACGGAATACTGGGAAGAAATGATTTGTGTACCTCGTGCGTAAGGACGTGTCGTGCTATTTCAACGTGGAACCTTATCATTTGCTCATGATAATTAAGAAACTATTAATTTTCAGCGCCTGATTCTTTTGAGAATATTGGTAGAAAGCGAAAGGTCAGTCGTTGGAATCTTTCTTCGTTATCTTTAACAATTACTTCGAAGCAGAAGCGCGATTGTGATGAAATTGTACGATACTTTCGCTGCTAACACGAGGAATCCTCTACGATTATCAAGCGTGCATTCGGATGAATCCTCTTGATCGCTTCTCGTATTAACAATATCATTGCATCGTGCAGGAAGATGATTTTATCATGCAGTTGAACCTTAATTAGTCGAACCTCCGTATGGGAAATGTCTATCTGTGTCAAATTTTTGCGAGTCTCTCTCAGAATCTCTTGAAATCAATGCTTGAAAAGCCACCGAAGGTTTCCCCCTCTCTAACCTCAATAATTCGAATCCTTGGTCTTTTGACTATTAATTTTGCGACACTCGAAAGAGAAAAGTTATCAAAATGTAACTTCATGCATCGAGACCTCCCTAACTCGAATGCCTTTCTGGCCCTTGAAGTTAGACTTGAAGACGTTTGACAATCATTTTGTTTGGAGCATTGATTTACCAGCTTTGAATGTCCCTTTTTTACATTTTCAGTCGAGGTCCACGTTAGTGACGCTGAGCACACCGAATGTCATGGACCTTCCGGCTGTAGCAGACGAAGCAACGCACTCCATCTCGTACACATTGAGCCGCACACAGGCCGTCATTGTTGAGTATGTGCGGGATGATAAGACGGACTTGTTCCAGGTTGGACGCAGTTCTGAAAAGCCGATTGACTTCGTTGTGATGGACACTGCAGGTGCCCCGCCTCCGACCCAGGGTTCGTCTGCGGGACAGTCAACAATTTCTAGGTAATTCTAGTCCCGATTTTTGTGAGAGTGTTGAATTATGGCGAATTATTGTGGACAATGTGCGTCGTCGAAGTGTTCGCGAATTCCTGGTGTTGGTTGTAGTATTTCAACGAATCAAAGTGGGGTGTACTGCGTAGAAAAACGATTCCGTTCTGGTGTGAGCTTTGTTGCAAAATATTTTTTGCGAATTGAACTTCACGCAAAACATGATTTTTCTCGAGTTTCGATGGAGCCATCGCAGACCCTCAAAAAATCTTGATGATCGTGAAAATCCTATCGTTCACTTCATTAAGTTATTGCGATGAAATTGAAGAATCATATTGACTCAAGTACCGCAAGCACCGTTTTTTCCTGAAAATTGAAAGGGAAAAGTGGGTGTGTGTCATAGGTTGGAATACATTTTTCAAAAAGTTGTGGAAGTTCAAGTGTCCAATATTCTTTATTCTGATGCAGAAATGTAAATCAGTTTTATCTGAAAAAAACTGATTTTAGAGGAAACGACTGAAAATTACAGTGCAGTAGTTGAATTCAAGTTAAATTCGGGTCTACATGTGATCTTACTTTTGAAATATTTCAGTTCTAGATTCAAACTGGAAATTTGGTGCGCGTCTATGCTTGAGTGAAAACTGTGATTTTGGCACTTATAGGAAGCTCTCAACGTTCTGAAGTCAGCTGATTTGTCTTTTCTTCTTTGCGTTTATCTCGAAGTGAATTAAGGTATGTAAGCGCAAAACTCGTGCCTTTTTTATCGATAAATTTAAGTGTATACATGAAGACAAAGCCCTTGAAAATGACTGAAGTCTTCCGTTCGGTTTCGTGCTCACCTGAGATACTTCTTGAAATTGAACAGCTTTTACGTTATAATGAATTACAGGTACCTTATGACTTTTCAGCACCAGGTGTGAACCCAGAATTTCTTCATTCGTTTTTATTTGGCGATTTCGATTCTCAGATTCGCGTGTCGACTGTTGGTAACACGCCGAGATGCCGGTGATAACCCCGAGAAGCCAGTGCAAGCTTGTGTTTTTGCGGCTGGATTCAATTCCGAGTCCAACATTTTCCTCGGGGAAAAGGCAACCAAGTGGCAGGAAAACAACAACATGGACGGATTAACAACGAACGGAATACTTTTGATGCATCCAGACGGGGAATTTGTGAGCGGGAATGCGAAAGCTGGCAAATGGCGGGAAGTCAGTGTCGACGGCAACATTTTCTCGCTTCGGGAAGCGAGAAGTTCGTCACGTCGTGGCGAAGAGCAACGGGACGAAGCCAACGTCCTAATGGTGTGTTTTCTGTGTGGTTTGATGTACTGTAGTTTGTTTGTAAAAAAAAGTCTGATGTGAATCATGTGATCTGTGTGAAGTGAATGGAATTCCATCGATGGACAACTTGATATTGAATCTGAAAAATTCAAGACCATCGAATACAATGAGAATAAGTTTGTTCTGCATCTTAAATGTGCCCAGAATGTTCTTTAAATGTTATATGGAAGTAGCACTGATGGGAACATGGATAGAAAATCTTCACATCCAGAGAAACACTTACTGAAGGATACCCTTGAGATGAAAATGAAATTTATTTATTCCATGCCGCAAGTAAAAATTAAGTAGGCTTTTTTAACAATATAAGAACTTTAAAAAAAACCAAGCACGGAAAGCAAATAATTTTGTAACAGAAAAGTGTATCATTAGTGTAGGTGAAATAACTTTGAAAAGACAAGATTACACACATTAAAGTGCCAGGAGGAATGAATTTTCTTATGAGCGCATGGGGGAATTATTTGCATTTAGATTGTACCATAAATTTCAGCCTCGAAATAAAATTTTTAATTCTCAAATTTGGTATTTCCCTCACAAGAAAGTTTGTTGACCAAATTTTGGCGTGTTAACACAGGGATTTTTCCTGGAAACAAGAGGTTTGTTAACCAAGTGGTTCATCAACCAAGGGTCCGCTGTACAGTACCTGTACTTGATTTCGAATTTATAGATTTTACCTTTTTTGAAGAGGTAGGATGTCGTGAGAAAGGCATGCGTGTGTAGCAAATTATTTTCCTTGAAGCCTGGAAAGTCATTTGCAGTAAACTGAAGTGTTAATTTTCCTTTCGGCTTTGTGTGTGTGTGTGTCTGCAGGATGGTTCCCTGATTGATTTGTGTGGCGCCACGCTGTTGTGGCGCTCATCAGAGGGCCTGCAGCAAAGCCCCACCCAGCGCCACGTGGAACGCATGATCAAGATCGTCAACGCCGGCAAACCCCAGTGCCCCGTCGGGCTCAACACCCTCGTGCTGCCCCGACACAACTCCGGCGTGCCCAACCAACTCATGTACGTGTACCTGCAGTGTGGCCACGTCCAAGGGCGGCACGACTGGGGCTTCGTGGCGGGTGCAAATGAGCGCCAGTGTCCCATGTGTTTCGTCATTGGTGCCGTGACGAAGCTGGAAATGGGACTCGAGCCCGCGTTCTATGTGGACTTTGAGCCGCCCACGCATGCCTTCAATCCCTGCGGGCACATGGCGTCGGAGAAGACGGTCAAGTACTGGGCCTTTATCCCGTTCCCGCACGGGCCCAGTGGGTATCGGGCCATGTGTCCGTTTTGTGCCATTTCCTTGGAGGGGTATCCGGGATTCACGAAGCTCATCTTCCAAGATAACATTGATTAACCCCTTGTTTGGCGACCCCTTTTTTTGCTTGAAGGGTCCGCGGACTGGTGAATTTTTATTTTTTAAATAATTGTAGACTAGCGGAAATTTTTTAAATGTCTGCCATGAAGTCCTCCAAAACTGAAACTTCCATTGCGAAAATTGAGTTGATAACCAATGAAGCAGCTACAGTGAAATGTTTTGAAAAAATAGGAAGCTGGGCTTCTGGGAAGGGTTTCTCCAAATGAATCATTGAAATACCCTATTTAGATAGATAGATAGATAAACAAGCTTTATTTGCTGCTTGTCAGCATTCACAAGGTACAAACAATATTTCCCACATCCCATCATTAATGGTATGTACACAAGCACCAAGACACTTTTTTTTAAATCGAAATTGAGGAGAAAAAAGGGGTGCATGTCATATACAGGTATACATTTTTCAAAAATTTTGGGTACATTATACTTACTTCTAGGAGGAAATTTTGGACCAAGTTTAAGAAAAAAACTGATGGAAATGGAAGCATTTGAAAAATGTTTGAGTTAATGTTAATTCATGTCTCGATTCAAATTTAGGTGTTCTCATGTTTAGAATTGTGTGGTTTTCAAGTCACTAAAAATGGGATGTATGTCTTATTTGAGGATAGGATTTTAGCAAAATTTCCTGATTGAAAAACCTGTGTGTGCATCATACTTGATTAAATACAGTAATTTATTGCAGCAGGTGAAAATTTGTCTGAAGTGTTAATAGGAGAAAAGCCAACTTTTATTTTTCATCATTTAATTTCACTTTTTATTGTCAGGAATTGCATATAACGGTGACAGTCTTCATTCCAACCTTTGACATATTTTTAATGTTGAAGAAAATTTCCTGCAAATTGACAAAAAGTATCTGCAGGCATTTTCTGGGTTAAGTAATGGGAACTTGTTCCCATAGAAAAATAAGTTTGCCTTTTTTGCTCTGTGTCAAACATTTTCTGGCTTTTTCTGTAACACCATATTTATTTGAGTACCATGTACCCTTGAATGAGATGCTCATTTGGTTTTTTCTTGTCCTGAAATTTGAATAAAATCCTATCCCTAACTATGACGTGCACTCCATATTCAGTCACTAAAACAGGGCGCCGTTTTTAAAATGAAATGCATCAACATTTTAACTGAAATTAAATGCAAATTGAAGGAATTTTCCATTGTTTTTGCTGGATGAAGCAAGTCTTCCAAATTTTTCACAGAAAGTCAGATTTCATAACAAAACTTGTGAATTTGAACATATTTGAAAATGAACCAGAATTTTGAGGAGTTTTTAAAATTCAATTAAGAGTAAGCGCCGTTTCAAAATACAGTACCAAGTAGCACAAGTTTTGGTTGTGTTATTGGTACTTGCTCATTTTTACACGCGCACTTTCAAAAATTGTTCTTTTTGTTCAGTACTTCATGAGTAAATTATAAAACGCAATTTTGACAGCAAATAGAACTGATCAAGAGAACGAAACTTTTCCAATCTTCTCTTGTTGAGTCCAAGTGAGAATTTTTTGCCCCATTGTGTGAACAGATGGGAAACAAATTCTTTGAACGTATGAATTTTTTATTTTTTAATTTGCGACCAAGTCATTAAACGGATCTGGAGGCAAAAATCAATATTCAGAGAAATATTACGAGCTTTGAACCGTATTGAAAATCTTTGCTCATGGACCATTTGTTTTGTTTGTTTTTTTTCATCCGAGAATTAAGTGTTGACATTCAGGTTGAGCAACCGATTATTTTGTGATCCCAAATATGGGCATGAAAAAGTGCAATTTTCAGCAGTTCCTTTTTTTCTGGGATGATTTAATGACTCGCAACTTCATTGTAATGTTTTAGTTTTTCACATGAGCTAATTCATCAAAGAATAATACTCACAGCTTCAACAAACTATTCAGAACATTTAAAAAAATCAGATGAAGTCACCTTTTAAATCCTTAATTTTAAGAGTTTTAGACCCATTCCATTTTTCAGGGAGAAAGAAGGTGTATTTATTCTATGAATTACTGAAAAGCTTAATGAGCTATTTTAGCAGGGTATTTCTAGGAATGTGCTTTAGATTTAGATTTTTTCAATGTCAAGTTCTTATGACTGAAAACAAACGTGATACTGTTTTTGCTTGAGTACCATGAACCCTTGAGTGAGACAGGCACCCAAGTTTTCAAGTCAAAAATATTGCTGAAGTTGTATCCTTGAGTACAATGCATATTCAATTTTTACTGACTCCCAAACTGCTATGCAGTTGATCCTCCCCAAGTCAAATTTTTTTCAAGTCCCCATCTGAATTCTCTCAAAAACTATGCCTTACAAACCTCCATAACTTGAAGGCTTTTCCCTCTAAAACCTCAATAAGTAAAAAATTTTAGGCTATTATTTTATTGAAACTGGAAAGAAAAAAAGCAATAAAGATGGCATTTTATGTGCTTTGAAAGGATGTGACAAACTAAATAGGGCAAATGAATCCCTGTCTCCAGGTTGATTGCCCTGTCAACTCATTTTAGAATTGATTCAAGGTTCAGAATGTGCAATTTAGTGAAAATTTTGCATGTTTCCCACAATGAAAATGCTTGATTCAATGAGTCGAGCATCTATGATTCTATATAACTCAGAACCTCTTTGATTCTACATCTTTTGCTGGTCCCTCAAAATTCGACTTGAAGAGGTTCAACTGTATTTCAAAAATAGGAAAACCCATTTTTCATTTGGTCATGAATTGAACCAGAATTCAACTAATTTTCAATTGTTTCCAGAAAATCTAGTTTCTTTTTAGTTGGTCCAAAATTCATCAATAAAATCCAGTGCAATGCCCATTTGAACTTCTAAACTTTTTGACAAATTTATAGGCGTCCCTGACATTTCCTCCTCTTTTTTCCTCTCCATTTTGAGAAAAAAGGTACACAAGTAAATACAGTAAATATATTTTGTGTTTTATGTGACTGCTCATTTTGTTGGAGCTGAGAATGTAGTTCTTGGGGAGGTTGAGTTTAGGATTAATTTTGGAATAATTTGAAACGGCTTTTTTTCCGAGTTGACGGGAAAAGAGAAGTTCCCAGGGTGATTTCAGTCATTTTGCTTGTGTACTTGGCTCACTTGTGTTCCCATTCAGTTTTTTGTTTATCAACCTGCTCGAGTGTTCAACTGCTGATTTTTGCGTGGTCTTGGTTTTGCTTCTCTTTATTTTTTGTGTGAACGTTGTGGGAAATATTTTGCCGTCCATCATTCGAGGAGATGAGAAAAAATTATATATATATTTATCCACATGTTGTGGATCTAATTTTCATCAGTCTCCTTGTGCTAAAATTAATTGCATTCTCCGCAATTTTTTTTGGAAGGATGTTTCCAAATTCTGAGCCTTCGCTGCTGGAGTCTGTGATCTATTAAATCGTGGGATTTCTAGTGTGCGTTTGTTTTTTTTTGAGTGATGAATTCATCCTTCAAGTTCAGATATTGAATTGAAATTATCGCGATCAATAGTGGTGTGGGAGTGGATCGAGCTCTATGTTTCGAAGAGATGTCTTTTTTCTTCCGTGGTACTTATTGACGAAAGTACTGTATTTTGTGTATTCTGGTTGTTGGTCGATCGATTGATTGATTGATTATTTGAACGATGACGAACCTGGCTTTTTTCATTGCGAGTGGGTTTATGGAGATGAATTGTTGAAACCTGAGCAAATTGGACTTCCGCGTCAGACAAAGAGCTTGTCAAAAAAATGTTTAATGTCTTTTTTTGTCACCTAACTTTCCTTTTTTTACTGGCTGCTGAGGAAAACCAGAATTGTTCTTGGCTGTGATGTGATTTTGGGCGGGTTTTTATTCTTGATTTCCATTGATTCCTGTAATTTTTTGCGCATTGGTCTTTTTCTCCGCTCTCAAGTTTCCAACAAACTGGAATCTTTTAGTTATTCAAACAACGATTTTGTTTCTGAACTGATGCTCCCGCAATTGATTTATATTTTTGCAGTCAAAGGGATTTTTTGCTGCTGTGAAGAAGATATTGTTTGATTTGACAAAATGGCCATTTTTGTGGAGACGTGTGAAAAAGGATCATGGATTTTTTTTTTTCAATCCCCACCTGGATGCATTTTGCTTATTGTTGATGGGCTTAGTCTTGTCAGACAAATTTTGATTACTATGCAAAGAGTTGTGGATTTGAAATGAAATTTGTGGTTTTGAAATGGAGATGCCAAGGAAAGTGCTTTTCATTCACTTGAAGTCTCTGTTTGTGAAACTGTTGGACAGTTACCCTGTAAGTCAATTTTTCTTTCAGGTTCCCTCAGAAACAATGCATTGAACACCTCTTCAGCAGTTACTCTCAAATCTCTGTTACCCAAATTTTCTATGACCTTCTGGGTATTATTTAATTGACAAAGGAAAGATGATATAGAAATAAAGTATTCATGTTTTTTGAAAGGAAGTGAGACTAATTGGGCAAATGAATCCTTCCTTCCAAGTTCAAAATCCTGTGAACACATTAAAGAAGCAATTTAAGGCCCACATTCTTGTACTATATACAATTTCCCACAATCACTTCATCTATCCCAGCTAACTGTTGGAAACATCTGAATTAAAATTTTTTGCTGGTTGCTTGAAATTTGACAAAGAGCAGTTTGAAGGTTTAACAAACCTAATCATTTCATGGAGGAGTTTTGTGATTCAAGATTTTTTGTCATGCAAAATGCTTTTTTCCCAATTCATTGAACATGTAGAATACAGTAATTGACGTTTTAATTTATTCTATGTGTTCCAGACATTCACCAGAAGAATTTTCTTTTTTTTCTATTTCATAGCATAAGATTGGGACTTTAAAATTGATCAGTCAAAATAAAAGTGATTGTGAAATCTTTCTCTAAACTCCCTGAAATGTGAAAATTTTCAAGACAAGATGTACAACTACGTATTAAAGAATCTAGACTGCTGATGGTGTCTTGCTAGATGGCAGGAGATACTCTGGAGCGGTGTTCCCCAACCTTTTTGTGCCCACAAACAGGCAAATTTCCATAACTTGTTTGCCAGACTGGCAAATTTCCATAACTGGTTTGCCAGACTGGCAAATTTCCATAAATGGTTTGCCAGACTGGCAAATTTCCATAAATTGTTTGCCAGACTGGCAAATTTCCAAAAAATTGTCTGCAGACCGGCAAAGTTTTATAAAAATTTTTACAGACTGGAAACATACTTGCTTGATAGACTTTATGGCAGGTATATAAAATGTCTGCTTCTTGCAAAAATTGAGTTAAAAAAGCACCAATGAAGCAGCACACTATAGCTGAATGCCATCAAAAATTTGGAAAGGTGAAAATTAAAATAATTTATTTCAGCAGGAAAAAATGTGTCTGCATGAACTGCTTTTATTAGGATAAAAGCCAACTTTCATGTTTCATCAAATGCCTTCAACTGCCTGTCTTTCCAAAGTTTTAGATAATGATGACAGAGTTCATTGCTACTTTTTTAAGTGTATTACTGTATATGCTGAAAATTTCCCAGAGACTGGCAAAAAACTTCTGCGGTCTGGCACTGGCTTGCGGGCCAGATGGAGTTGGGGAACAATACTGCTCTAGAGTCTGGACTTTTTAGAGCAGTGTTCCCCAACCCATGGTCCGCGCACCAGCACCATCAGTCCTCAAAAGCTTTTTGCAGGTCCACAGAAAATTTTCTCAAGCATTGTAAATTTATCAATACTATCAATTAAGGACATTACAGTATCTGTATCCAAAATGCTTGCAAGGCAATTGCAGTTATAATTATTTCATGAAAAATAAAAGCTGGGGTTTCTCTTGATAGCACTTCAGAAAAATGTTCACCTGATGAAATAATGTATTTTAAGTTTTCATTCTGAGAAAATTTTGTTCAAGCCCACCTTTGTAATGTTTTAAGACATTCCACTACACTTGCTTCATTGGTTCTCAACTTTTTTTTTTCAAAAGAGCAGAAACATGTTCAATACTTGCCATACAGTTTCAGGCAAAAGTTTTTTAGAGTGTGCAAAAATTTTAAAAAACTTTGCCAGTCTGCAGAATATTTTTTTAACATTTGCTAGTCCGCAGGCCCAAAAAGGTTTGGGAAGACTGTTCTAGAGTATGGTGTGTCTGCAGAGTACGCCCTGCCTGCCACACCGGCATGGGAATTTAGCGCCATCCGTTGGGTGGTCCGTTGTGTTCTCCCACCGGAATGGAATTAAATGCCGCACTGTAGTGCAGTTTACTATTTACACTCCGGAAACAAGTCAATGAGTGACACCCGAAATATTGGTTAGCAAATAATGCCGAATGCCTTTACGCACAGATGGGCACGGAACGACTGAGAAATTTACATTAACGTACTCGACCTTCGCCGTGAATCCCAGCCTCGGATCTTCAGGGTTGTCGTTGAGCGAGAAAGTGGCAGTGAAGTGGTGCAGAGTGAAAAGCGTGCGAAATGATCTGTAACGAGTTCGGCACAATTCGCCCAAAATCCGTAGGCTAACACGTACTGCTTTTGGTGCAATCAAGGCTCCAGTGGTTCATGCCATGTGATAGATGATTTTTACGTTTCTTTTTCTCAGGTGATAATGCCAGTGTAATCGTAAGTGAATGGAGTTGAACGCTGCATAGGCCTATTTGAAAAAGATTATTGAAGCCAGCTTTTTTCACATAATGGAGAATTCGGATATGCCTGTCATGATCTCTGTTTCTACGGCCTCCGTTGGCGGTGAAAACATGAAATCCTATTCCTCGGAATCGCAACGGAAGCCGCATGGTGGCCCTGTTTTAGACAAGGATACCGCCGTGACTATCTTGAAGTATTTGAAAAAGAAAAATTTGGATAGCACCTTGGAAGCATTTCGGCATGAGGCCGGTCTCATCGAACCAATTGGTGATGTTGACTTGGAGGACAATGACGCATCGGATGACGTGGGAGTTTGGTCGGCGTACAAAACGGAAACCGATCCTCTGGACTACGAGGCTACGTACAACGAATTTAAACGTTTTCTTGGTAACTATTTTTCTCTCAAGTTGGATAATTTTCTTGTGTGCTAATCGTTTCATATTTTACAGGAAACGCATTGGATCTGTACAAGCATGAGCTTCATGCTATGCTCTATCCTGTTTTTCTACACATGTATATTGAACTTGTGTACAACGGACATGAGGCTAAATCAGAGAGTTTCATGAAGCGATTCGGCCCGATACAGGAATACTACTACCAGCAAGACATCACCAAACTCGCCATGATTACTCGTAGGGAACATATGAAACACAACGATTTTCTAGATACCCTGAAATCCAACCAGTTCACCGTAAGACTTTCTCGTGATGCGTATTCTGTTTTGCGTCGTTTCATGGACGAGAAGAGGGCGAAAGTCAGCGTGCTGTTGAACGTTGTGCAAGAGCATTTGTATCTCGACGTTTATGAGGTAAGTCCACTAAATCGCCTCTCATCAGACTTGTCCGTCAGTGAAATTATTGTTTTCTGTTGAGCAAAGTACAGTATTTCGGTGGAAGTAGCGTACAACTCTTACCTCTTCTTTGATGTCAATATAAAATGAGCATACCCTTTCGTTTGCTTTAATTTTGTAAATGTGTGTCCACCGCGGATGAAGCTGGCTAAAATTACAGTACCTTGCAAATCGTTTGGCCTTTTTTAATCTAGTGAAGACCACTAGTGAAGACCACGTGTACAGTAGTGGGACCCCGAGATGCGGACGTAATTGGTGGTGGATGTTGTCCCTAGTCGGGACAACTATATTTTGGATCATGTTTTTCCATCGTTTTCAATGGGAACATATTTTCTTGATTCTCCAGTTGATCAAAAATTAGGAATGAAGTCTCAAAAAAAGTAGTAAATTTTTTTTCTACTTCACAATACGGAAAATGACTCTACGGAAGAAAACCACGCTATAAATTTGAATACAGAAGATTCAGATGCTGTGCACAGATGATGGAAAAAAACTCTGAGAAAGGGAGCACAATATTAGCCTGTTTTTTTTTTATGACTTGGAAAATTCCATATTTACATTCATTTTTCATTATTGTGAATGTAAATACTGTAGCTCAATTTGTTGATACATCACAATTTAGAAAATTGATTTTTGTTTTCTTGGAATGTTGGGAAATTGTCCGTATCTCAAAACATTGCCTGTATGTTGGGGTCCCAGTGAACTAATTTTTGAATCCACGAAGTACAGTACAATAACCGGAATATTTGCCATCATTTTTCGCAGGGTATCCCGAGAAACAAGGAACAAGTGGAAACCACTGCCGGAGCGATGAACGGCGAGGCCATGCAGCAGGCCAATAAAGGTAAAGTCTACTACGGTCTCCCGAAAGAACCCGACGTCCACGTGAATCTCGACGAGCCTGTGGATTCCATGCTGGCGTCGGAAGGTGGGACGTCTTCTGCCGCGGCGGCGGTGACAACCGGCGCCGAAGACGAGGCGTCCAAGCCCAAGAAGAAGAAGAGCAAGAAGGACTCGATATTCTCCAAAAAGACCAAAAACGATCCGAATGCGCCGCCAGTGAACCGTCTCCCGCTTCCAGAGCCCCGAGACGTGGACAAGAAGGAGAAACTCAGGGCTGTGCGAGAGTCCATGAAGAGGATCACGCTGGGCCCGGATTCCATGCCGTCCATTTGCTTTTACACCTTCACGAACACGAACGTGGCCAAGGTGACGTGTGTCAAGATTTGCGAGGACACGAGTCTGCTTGCTGTCGGTTTCTCCGACAGCAAGCTCAAGATCTTCACTCTCGTGCCCACGAAGCTCAAGGCCATGAAGAAGGCTGAAGAACTGACGACGATCGACAAGTGCGCCGATGACGTTTACGCTCGCATGATGGACGAGTCGACGGCCGAGCAGCAGAAGCAGTTGGTGGGCCACTGTGGGCCCATTTATTGTTGTTCCTTCTCTCCGGATCGCACGATGCTGTTGTCCTGTGCAGAAGATGGCCACATTAGACTCTGGAGTCTTCTCACGTGGACCTGTCTCGTCATTTACCGCGGTCACATCTTCCCCGTGTGGGAAGTCAAGTTTGCTCCGCACGGCTTTTATTTCGCTTCCTGTGGTCATGATAAAACCGTAAGTGGGGAAGAACACCGCTTCGTATTCAATCAACCTACAAAAAAAATAGAGACGGAGAAGATCTATGCGGCGTTTGAATTATTACCTAAAAAATTATCCGAACAACAGTTTATTTTCATTTATTTTTCTAATGCGAGGCATTTCTTGAAGCTTTCGATTCATTGAGATTTTATTCAAAGACACAATTTTAATTTCTTTTGTTGGTCTTGATGCTGTATAACGGATATTTTTTATTACGACGGATGTTTTTCGGTGGATCCTCATCCCGAGTCTTATTTGTGTCAGGTTCGGCTTTGGTCGACGGACCAGAACCAGCCGCAGCGCCTGTATGCGGGCCACCTGTCGGACGTGGACTGCGTCGAATTCCACCCCAACTCCAACTACGTGGCCAGTGGGTCTAGCGATCGGACTGTGCGACTGTGGGATTGCGTGTCTGGGTCCTGTGTGCGTGTCCTCACGGGCCACAAGACGTCCATCCACGCCTTGGCCTTCTCCAACGACGGTCGGTACTTGGCGTCGGGTTCTCGAGACGGGGACCTCATGCTTTGGGACCTGGCCAGAGCGTATTTGTTGGCCCGACTGGATGCCCACTCTTCCACCGTCTATTCCCTGTGCTTTTCGCGGTGAGCTGAGTCTATTTCACGGAAAGGACGTGGTTGGGGGAAAATCAATGAAATGTTTGGAATTTTTTCATGGGTATTATCGTAGCTATGTGTTGATTGTCGTGGGCAATTTCCTTGAACGAAAACTGGAAAATGGGCTCAGTGAACAAGTTTGAATTGGTTGCCGAGTTTTCATGAGAAATGTGTCATTTTGTGAGGAACTGTTTCCCTTCTGTTTCTCAACATTGAAAGCAGTTCTTTAAAATGTTCAAAGTTATTTTATTTTTGAGTTGTTGTGAATTGAAAGATAATCATTCTGTCGGCATGGAATAATTATCAAGGATGTTCCCTTTTTATTTTAGCCGATTCGTAGTTCATACGCCCATCAAGCCTCCCATAATATTAGGGTTTTTTACTTCTACTGTATTAGTCAAGAACCCCTAGAATTAGATGCCGAGTTACAGTCGTAGGTCGAGGCAGAAATTTGGCATTTGGAGAATTTGACTTGAATTTTTTTGGTCTCGTTTTTCCCCACAGGGATGGAAATTTGTTGGCCTCTGGGGGATTGGATTGCACCCTCAAGCTATGGGATTATGCCAAGTTGGCGAAGGAATTCGCTGCCGAGAGTTCAGCACCAGGTGCCGCAACCCCTGGGACGACGCCGCATAACCCGGATGTGCGGATGGGAGAGGAAGAACTGCTGTTGCTAGGCTCGTATCCGACCAAGAAGACGCCCATAATTGAGCTGCATTTCACTCGACGGAACCTTCTTGTTGGTGCGGGTGCCTTCGACGGCGCCGTCGTTGTGGCGTCTGATATTTCCGCCAAGAAATGACGTCTGCCTGTGTGACTCGGGTCATCAGTGGATACGTGGCAAAATTGTCGCGGTTTTGTGTGTGGCCCAAATTTGGAAACCCCCCTGCAGCAGGCGGAGAAATTGCTCAAGACGTGCTGTGATCCCACTCGGGCTTTGCCAAAAGTGTTTTCAAAGAGATCGTTTTGTTTTAGCGCTTTTGTACACAGTACAGTATATTGTGATGTTTAGGTTTATGGAAAAAGTATTTTCATCTACTCCCTTCTTGGACGTCAATGTTACTAAAACCTGCGCTTTTTTGTGTTGCAGTACAGTACCTGTACTTTGAAAGGTGGTATATCAGTTGCAATTTTTGCTTCAGTGTTATTCTCACGTGTCAATCCGGGTAGTTCCACCCGTGGTTGATTAAATTTAATTGGGTCAGGACTGTTGGCTAATTGCCTCCTCCTACTGTTTAGTGCTTCCTTATTACAGTATTTCTTTCGACTTGTCTTTTTTCGAGAGCCCCTTTGTTGTTTATATCGGGATCTCACTTTTTGAATTTCGCGCATGGGGGCGAGGACTGAAGGCTTGATTTGAAGTTCCATCCACTTTAGGATGCTGTTCGGGACGATTAAACGTGGATGTTTTTCAGTAATTTTTCTAGGCATTTGTTTGGTTGTTGGATTTTTAGCGCATGGTTGACTTCCATCTTCACGCGGATTTAAGCCGATGAATTTTGGATTCTGTTTTTAGCCTTGGAAAGGTCGAAATTCTTCCGGAAAATCCGGTGCGCGAAAAATCTTCATTTTAACCATTAAATTTATGTCCCTCCTATTTTTGACTGAAGCGTGAGAAACTGAAAAATTTGAACGATGAATTTTTAATTAAGCAAATGTTCGAAGCTTCGAATAGCATGTGATACGTATGTGGTATGAATTTACAGTACAGTACCTCGAAATATACAATGGAGTACAGTGACACCAATTCGTCATTGTTAATACAAAGACCAGGTTTTTTTTATCTTGATGTACAATCCAGGCTCTAATTGAGTGTCTCTGTTGAAGGGATTTTTGGGGGTACCCCGATATTGAAACAGTGTGGCCTATGCTGATGTGAAAACGGCTTGTGTTCTCCTGATGCCCGTTTGCTTTCCAGATACCCATTTGTGATATACACTATAGAAAAGTGGAAAGTGTGTGTGTGTGTGAATATATATATACATATAAAATATGGAGTCATTACGTCTGCGATGGACCGAGTACGAGCTCAACTGGAACCAGGTGTTGGCGGATGCCTATTACGAGCGGGAGTTGACGGACGTGTTGGTGGTGTGCGAGCACGGGGAGGGCATCATGTGCCACGGCGTGGTGCTGTCTGCCTGCTCTGTGCTCCTGCACGAGTTGCTGGAGGAGACGACGGCCGAGTGCTCGGTGGTGGTGCTGGACGGCGTCAGGGGCAGCCACTTTGACGTCCTGCTCAAGTACATGTACTTTGGGGAGGTGCTGGTGCCCGAGGGGGACTTGGAACAGGTCCTGGACCTGGCGTGTCAGCTGAGGGTCAAGGGGCTCATGGAGTTTCGCGCGTCTGCGCTGTTGGTGCGATATTTGTTTCTTTTTTTGGGTGCTTTCCTGTTATCTCAGTACCCATTTTTGTTTGTCTCGTGAATTCATGATTTGTTAGGTTAGGTCAGGTTATGTTAATTGAAAGATATATGTAACTAACATAACCTGACCTAACCTAACTTCACCTAACCACCTCCCAAAATCAGTTTCTGCTTTCTTTGGGTTTCTACTGAAACTGATTTTGAGAGGCGGTTAGGTAAAGTTAGATTAGGTCAGGTTATGTTAATTGAAAGATATTTGTAACCAACATAACCTGACCTAACCTAACCGCCTCCCAAAATCAGTTTCAGCAGAATGCAGAAAATGAAATTCACAGTTTCTGGTAGGTGCAGGGAAAGTAGGTTCTGAGATAACAGGAAAGTACCTTTTTTGGTCTTGGGAGGGAAGGCACTTTTCCAGAAATTTGAAACTATAGTGAGTGTGATACTTCATTCAAATCAGTGAATCAATTTTCAACAATATTCAAAAAGCTTCAAATATCAACATTTTTGAGCTTGACCAGAAAAATTTTAAAGGCTAATTATTTGGCTGTGGTCCACACTGTGTGTTCAATTTTCACTGATAAATAAAAACTGGTTTGTGCCTTGTCATGAAGGAATGAATGAATGAACAGAAAGCTTCATTTTCCGTTTTTCAGCATTCACAAGGTTTCTATCAACATTTCCACCTTCAAAACCCACCCAACCCAAATCCATTCAAAGACATTCAATCACTTCAGAGTGGGAAACAGAGAAATTAGGTGCAAATGGATAACAAAAATAAAAGAAAATACAACTGCACATCTGATATGTATGCATACACCCCTTCTTTCCCTGACATTGAAAACAAAATATCAGTAACAAGAATTGCAGCATAAGCCAGAAGATATAGGCCTTTTCATCAAGTAGTTTATATCATTCCTGCTTGCTGACACACAATGCACAAGGCAGTTGGGTCTTTTTTACTTTTGCATTCCCAATGATGTGCTGCCATGCCAAGTCACACGCTGCCAATTTATGCAACTTGGCCCAAAACGAGGTCAGATCTGGGTCTGACCAGTCTTGCCCAATCACTGACTGCAAAGTCTATGAAGGCATCTGCCTCTCTCAGTTCTGGCACTCATTATATTGTGATGCTTGTTGGGTGAATGTATGCTACTTACTGCTCATACTTGTTGAACACAATAATAAAATACTTGTATTCCTTGTAAGGATTCAAGAGGAGTCTTCATTGATTGACAAGGCAGTAAGGATAAGAAATCTCCTCACCCATTGAATTTTGTCAGATCTAGAATGAATACAATATGATGGTAAATTAATACAGTAAATATAAGGATTCAGGAGATGTCTTGATTGCTTTATATTTTAACATCAACTTCAAAAGTCTGATGACAGCCAAATGCAGGGATACATTCTTGCCCAATTTTCTCTTTGAAAATCAAGGTGAGCTGTTTAATCAAGTGAATTCTGTGCTCTAATTGTTAAAAGCTTCAAAAATCATGGGTACTGTCACCAGGTGAAAAAAAATAGAAACCATGACTTGAAAAGAAATGGTCCAAGTAGTTAAAAACTCATTAGTGACATGCTTTTTCCCCTGAGTAGAAAAAATAATGGAACTTTCCTGGCTTAGAATTGAATGCTGATGAGTGAATTTTGTGAAGGAAATTATTGATACAAATTTTGACCTTGTTTTTTTTTATGTGAACCGAAATTCATTCAGCAATTATTTATTCACATACACTCTTACAGGTCATTCAAGCGTTTTGTTCACTTCAACGTAATTTTGACTGCCAGTGACATCCATGTGCAGTATTTTGAAGTAACGTGTCATTTTTTTGGACAAATTTGAAGAAAACTCTGCATGAAAATTCCATTATTTTGCCGTTCTTTTCACAGCGTAGTTATTTTTCGAGCATTCGGTATCCATCGGAAATGGGTTTCGGACGTCTTTGGAAAAGTCAAAAAGCACGGGAACAAAATGAATCATTTGAAACTTTGTATCAGGAATTCAATTTCATGAAATGTATGTCTTCTTAGGGCACGTTTCATAGCTGCGAGAAGCCAGAGTCGGAAGAGTTGCGTGGTGCCTTGTCAGACGAGGTTTTTGCGACGAGTGCGGACTTATTTGCGGAAGAAGCGAAGTTCTCGTCGAGATACAGCGAACTGTCCTCGGCGCCGTCTTCTGGCCACAACGACTCGTTGCTGGCAGCAGTGCCTGCAACCACGGGCTGCAGCAGTCTGGCTGACGACAACAGCTCCTTGTCTGACGAACCCCAACTGCCCTTGTTCTCGGAGCCGATGAATAACACGTTTCTGGTGAGGGGAAAAATCCTCATTTGGCCGACAAGTGTGAGACCCCGAGATGCGGACGGACGTAATTGGTGCATCAAGAGTGTCCTCAAGTTGAAATGTCCCTGAGTAAAGTCTCATTTTCCCTTAGACTTACATTATATAATTTTTAATTGGTATTTTATGCACAAAATACTCACCATGATTCCATGAAAATAAAAATTGTCCCCCAATTTAAACTGATTCCGATCAGTACATTTCAACACAATATGAACATTTGAGGAATTGAATGCTGATACCTCTGTATGCAGTACATAGAAATGTTGGCATTCTATTTAAAAATAATGTTCAAGGGAAAAAAGAGAGAAGGAAGTCCCTCTCTGCTGGAGGTAATTTTTTTTAATTAGCTGAATGGATGGTAAATTGGTGAGAGAAATGCCCAAGAACTTTTCTTGCACCAATTTTAGGGT